GGACGGTTTTTTGGTATCCCATCTCACCAAACTCCTACTTAGGGGAAAATGGTTTTGTAATTGTTTTCACCAAAGGTGCCTCTTTCCTTTTTAGCTGTTAACGGACTTGTGTTCCCCCTGCGACACAATGTCTGGAACTTAATTGCGTGCAGTTGCTTTCTTCTGGAGGCTTTTAAAAATCTGTCTGTAAGTTAGCTGTGGGGTAGGTAGCACAATATGGGGAGGGAAGGAGAGCGGACCCAAATAATTCCTTCCAGCCCTCAGATAGTCTGCAACCTCCATTGTCAAATCCTTTCTCCTTTGTTTAGGTACAATACATTCAAGAGATGGAAAGGTACTTTAATAGCTTTTTTTTTTCTTTTTAACATTAAAAACAACAAATGCAGTGGGGAAGGTATAGCTCAAGTGGTGGAGTGCATGCTTAGCATGCAGAAAGTCCTGGGTTCAATCCCCAGTAACTCCTCTAAAAAATAAATAAACGTAATTACACCCCTCAAAATAAAATAAATAAAACAACAAATGCAGAATTCATTTTTAAAATTTAAATGATAACAGTTGTATGTTTCTTAAAGCTTGTAATAGTTTATATGCCTTATTGATTTAGGAGTAGGGTAGGTTGGAGAGGTGGACTAGGGGCAGGCTGGAAATTGAGAGACCTGGATTAGCTCACTCTCCCATCAGCAAAAACAGACTCTTTGGGTTTAGATTTTTTTGTTTAAAAAGGAGATTGGCCTCGATGGTGAAGATGACCACCTGAGGAGAATTCAGGAGGGAGAAAAATAGGAAGTAGTCTGTGCTCTGGATTCTGGCCCTAGGTAGTTAAGACGCATATCTAAAGAATCATTTAAGTGAGCCCAGACTCTTGCATCTTTCCATACGTGGAAAAGCGCAAAAATAAATAACTTGAGATGTCTGTTTTTTTGCGATTAGCAGTAATCTTTTGATGCTCAACTAACTACATTTTTTTTCCCCAGCAAAAAATCCTTTATATTCTGGCTCCTCCTTTACCTCTTCAGAGCAGTTCCTCGGAGTTGTCTGAGAGGATGTCTTCCAGGGTGTAGTTCTTAGTAAGGTCCCCAAATAAAATTTACCTCACAACGTTTAGGTTGTGTGTGTTTCTTCAGTCAACAGTTTCAAGAAGTTTGTGCAACATATGGGCATATGAATGGACTGCTGATTCAGCAGAAAACATTGGATTTTTTTTTTTGGCCAACCTTAGGCATGATAAGTTTCAAACAAGTGTATGCCTGCTGAACAAATTTTAGGCATATTATGGAATTGTTTCAGAAGTTGTCAGTAGTGAAAAAAAAAATCACTGTTCCAGCACAGAAAATTAGTGACTTGAATATAGTTGAAATTACAAACAAAAAAGAACAATTCTAGTTACAGCTTGAATGATGTTTTAAATGCTGATGAAATGAGTATTTTACCAGTTGTTACTTCATATACTTTGTGTCCAGGGTGGACTTTGTAAAGGAGGTAAACAGAGATTGACTACTGCTCTGTTGTGCTGTGATGCATGCTTGGAGGGAAAAGATGAGAACATTGTCATTGGCAAGTCTGCTGACCCCCAGGGCTTCAGAAACCCTCATTTGCTCCCTGTGATTATGAAGCCAATACACATACCCAGAGGAGGCGAGGTTATTTAATGAAGGGCTGAAAATGGTTGGCCAGGGGATGGAAGGAGTGAAATGCAATATCCTCTCCCTGAGGGACAGCTGCTCTGCCCACAACACACTCCTGTGCTCAGGTAGTGCATATGCTGAGTTTTTCCCATTGATTTTTTAGTCTTTTTCAAAAACTTGAGAAAAACTAAACTGATTTTCTCCATAAGAAATAGTGTTACAAAAATAATTGCTCTTATAAAGACTATGTAAAATGGAAGACTTAAAGAATACTTGAATGAACAAAGCCCCAAAGAGTGTTTAAATGTGTTTGACCTTACTGTACCATAGGGTTCAGCATTTCCCCTGAAGAATTTTATTGTCAATTTCAGCCTTTCTTTGGAAGATTTCTTTCCCCACCTGCTCTCTTCCAACCTTCCCCTCTCTCACACCCCTCTCCAGGAATATGCTTTTGTCTAATAGTATCTGGAAGAGAAAAATATTCATGAAATGTTGATATTGCAGCTGGGAGGACGAGAAGCCAAAGACATACTTGGATAGGATAGATTTAGAGTAAGAGAAAGAAGGATATTAGGATTAAGGAGGTAGCAGAGCACTTGTTCCCAGAGTGGCCGACAGGCAAGAGGGGAGTGAGGACAGACAGCTGCTGCCCCTTCCTGCCTGGTTCCAGTGCTGAGGGGGCGGCAGCGGAGTGGGAAGGGGAGGTGAGACAGGAGTGGATCTGTAGAAGAAATTGAGCAAAGGAACACTCGCACTTCTCTCAGATGGGTGTCCTGGTGGGGCTGTTGGAAGGTGAGGATGGAAAGAATGGAAGGAAATAAAAGTGTGGATAACCCTCTGGCCACTCCCACCCACAGTACCCTCTTCATAGAACAAGATGCATTGTGACTCAGACCAAAAAATAAGTGCTCCAGGCTCTGGGCGCAGTAGGAAAGCAACATTTGGGTACCTCACTAGCTTGTTCTAAGAGATGAAAAGTAAAAATAACCATTTCCCCCAACAAAACTTAAAGCGCCACTTAGAAGGTTTGTGTTATACAAAGTAATAAAATAATTGACAGTTTCTTTTGGTGTATATCTGGACTGGAATTTTAAAAAGGAATGAATACAGGATGATTTTTTAAAAAGCGTTATCCAAAAAAAATAATAATAATCTTGAAGGGAAAAAGAGTCTCTTATTTTATTTTTAGGTACTAAATAAATCAAGATGTCTTCGGCACCTGAGCCTCCAGCCTTTAAAAAGGAGACACCCAAGGAGAAAGACTTTGGAAACCCAGGGCTCAGAGGGGTCCGCACCACAACCTTATTTCGAGCTGTGAATCCAGAGCTCTTTATTAAACCTGTAAGAAATACATCTAGGATGAGAATTTATGTTTAATTTAACTAGGCTGTCAGAAATCTTATTTTCCTATATCATTGGATTTTATAATGGAAACTTTATGTTGACTAAAAGACCTCTTTGTGAATAAAAGGCAGGTGGAAAGAAAATCTTTTATATATATATATTTAATTATTGTATTATTTAATTGTTTTATTTTGGTGGGGGTGGGGGAGATAATTAGGTTTATTTATTTTTAGAGGAGGTGCTGGGGATTGAACCCAGGACCTTGTGCATGCTAAGCACACACTCTACCACTTGAGCTATATCCTCCCCCAAGGAAAATCTTAAATACTGTTTAACTAAATATACATGTAAAACTAATTATTTTGAGAGTATTTGAGAATTTTAATGGAAAATGGTTGGATTTTAATGGATCAGCTTCTCAAATACCTGTTTAAAATTTTATTTTAATAGCTGCATTAATTTTAATGAAATTTTTATCATTTCCTCATGTGCTATTGAGTAAACAGGACCTTCCATTGAAACAAAACAATGAAAATCTGAACATTCTTAGTCTACAATTCCAGGCTTTATTAATATTTTAACCTATGGGATATTGCAAACATTTCTTGAAAAATTTCAGAACATGCTTTTGTACACTGTTAGGGAGTTACCGATATTTTTGGAGCAAATTATTGAGTATATTTGACTTGACATATTTATTTTTAAATAAATGTAAATCAAATCAAATCATTATAAAATGTACTTAAATATACTGAATTTGATTAGAATTTTAGTAACATAGTTGCCAGTATAAACTATTTGTGAGTTAAATAGTTCAATTTAACAATCAAATCATTAAATCAAGGTAGAATGTTTTAAAAACTTTGAACTAATGTATTTTTTCAGTTGCCAAATACATTACAGGAATTTCAGATTTAAACTGCTCTGTGTTTGTGGCCTTTCTCAGATGTCCATCCAAGTGAAAAAATTTGACCTTTATTTTTTTGATGATTAAGATCTGAAATAATAGTAATACAACAGGTATGGTGACAGAAGCAAAAAAAAAAAGACAAACTTAAAAAGCTTTTAAAAAAATATTCAAAGCTACATCACTGTACCTCTTAGGGTCTTGGATTTTTCAGCAGCAAATCAAGGTTATCATAACAGCATATCTGTTGTAATCACTAAATTTCTTGAATAGAATAAGTTCCCAGAGAAGAGTGTATCCGTTTTGCTGTACCTGTTTATGAGGCTTTCTGCTAATTATCTGTGTAACTCAGGTGAGAATAGCATGTATACTTCGTTCCTCACTTCCTAATAAAATTACCTAATTTAAGATTTGCAAATGGGAACCTTGGGCCCAGAGAAGTTAAGTAACTTTTCCACATCACACAGATAGCAGTGAAAACTGAGCGCTGGACCAATTTCCAGGCCTCTAGTTCCCCCTGTGCTTCTCCCAGGCTCCCCTTCCTGAAGGTGAAGGTGGGCGATGTCCTGGCTTTGGAGAGAAGGGGCAAGAGTCTTGTATGGTCTTTATCAGGAGTCGAATTAATTGAATAGAGAACTGAGTAAATTATTACAAATGAAAATATTGTTATAGGAATGCCAGTGTGGTAATAAAGACATGGCAGATGAACAGGGAACCAAGACAGATATTTGAGTCTCCTCAAATGTTTAGTCTTAATGAGGCCTTATCGTTTGTTTTCTTTGACAGAACAAACCTGTAATGGCTTTTGGATTGATAACCCTTTCCCTTTGCGTGGCTTATATTGGTTATCTACATGCAACACAGGAGAATAAGAAGGACCTCTGTGAAGCTGTTGACAGTGAGGGGCACAGTTACATGAGGAGGAGAACGTCTAAGTGGGATTAGCAGTGCTGGTGACTGCGGACGGAGCTGCATGGCAGGGCTCTGAAATCTTCCACTCAAGGTTATGCCCGCACAAGAGGATGTTTCTTGTTCTGGGATTAGCTAGTAAGGGAGCAGGGTGGCACTTACAGCCAGACAACTGGAGTGAGTGTTGTCCTATAGTTGTTACCTCATTCTTTTTCCACAGAAAGAGCTTCACAATATTTTCTTTTATTAAACCCTCTTATAAAAGTGCCAGGAGAATGGAAGTCATTTTCATGAGTTAAATTTGCATAGTATTTTCAATATTTTAAGGGGAATTATGCATTTACAACTGTCTTGAGGGTTTTAGTTTGTTTTGCTATTTGCAAAGACAGTGTTCATTTTACACCTGGCATGGGACCTATATTTTAAGAAAAAATAATGGTAAATTATTGTAAAGCCTTCATTTAAAAGCAAATCATTTTTACAGGGTAACAAATCATTCATATAGTTTGATTTTTCATTTCAACTAATTTTGGCCCAGAATTTTATTATAATTGAAGAGATGCTGATACTCCCACACACCTGTTAAAGATTAAATGAGCGAATAACCTAAAGTAATTGGAGCTTTTCTTTTCTTTTTTTTCTAAGTATGTTATACCG